AACCGTGTTGTGTTTGGCTGTGGGTCTCTGGATTGACAGACTTCTGCCTGCATTGAGATTGCAGATTTTATCTTGCACGTGAAACTACACATCTTTTTCTAATGGTAATTTCTGTTAATTCTGTTGCTCTTTGACAGAGTGACATTATTGCGAGTATCTGTGAGCCATGTGTGTTATCAAGCATATCTTTATAATTCTCTGGACAGGGCTTTGGTGACCATATGGTATGAGTTTAATTAAAATTTAAATATGGAAATACAGTGGTCTGGAAGCGGGTAATGAAGGATCTTTTGTGTCCATTTCCATACCAGTTCAGTAACGGATAAAAGCTGCAGTTAAACAGCAGCTTCATCCAAGAATGTGAATTGAAGGTGTCTTTTTCGCATTTGGTAAAAAGTCGTCCACGTGATAAATACCGAGCTGAGTAGAAATGATACCTCGAATCATGAGACTGTTCTGGCCTCTTGACTGCTGACCCCAAATTATTCTCAAAATATTACATAAAGATAGCTTATCTTGTTAAAACAGTGCTGCTCTTTTCAGTCACATGCCCATAATGTATAGACTTGTTGAGGATTTCCATTGCCTTTTATCGTCGTAAAATGAATTTACAAGATCTGAAATACATAACATTATACATGGAGTTATTCCAATACTATTAATTCAGTTCGTATCCCCATATTCCTTGAAGGTTTTACAGCAGGGAAAATGGAAAGGTGGCTGCTTAAAATGTGAAGTCATGTGCAAATAATATCAGACCTCATCTTAAAAGGAACCGGGGAATTTAATACTAAACTAATTTACTATTGTTAATCTAAATTTGGTACTTGGTAGGCAACACTGTGTTTCAATATTAGCATTTGGTTTGGCTTTCTCTTCTGTTCGAGGTGACCTTTTGGTGGGATGAGCAGGTACCCAAGGGCCACGCCAGCGCTGGATGGTTTCGCCCTCTTGTTGTCAACCAGTTCAGACGTGGCACATTGATTTTTCCCCCCGATACCTTTGCTGGGTTGTTGTGTGTTTCTGCCAGAGGCCGTTCAGAAAGGTATCCGATCCCCAAATGCTGAACATTTTAACGCTGATTCAATGACTGTTGATAGAGTGCAAAAGTCTGTATTTACTAAATACAAGTCTTGCTGCACGTCACCAACTTATCCCGTGTGTGGGTAGCAAAGGAATCAAACGAGCCCATTTTGATTGCTTTTCGGGCTGGGCCGTGTCCAACAGGGTCGGAGCCTCATTAACAACAAGAACAGGCAGCCACAGACCAAAGGGATGCAGAGAGTGTCACTAATTGATGCGCGGGGATTGTAGGTCGTATCTTCACGAGACACCCAGCGCTGACAGAGGCTGGTTTAATTCGAAACAATCGGCGTGCTTCGTCTGCGAGCTGCCACAGTGCCCCACTGACCTACGCGCCGTAGTAACCTCTGCTTTGGGTATTGATAAAGGCTGCTGCCCTTCGGGAGCCCGCAGGAGCCGGGGCTGTCGGCTGACAGATGCGAGCGCGCGGGGCGGTGGGGCTTCTCGCTGCTGCAAGGAAGTAGGTCATGGCCAAAAGTAGCCTTGGCTGCCTTGGTGGAAGTGTGCCTGCGAGAGAGGAGTCAGCTGAGAGAGGAGCTTGCACAGTTTCTGCGTTTGGTTTTTCAGCCGTTCCTCGCTGTGGAGCAGCTGGCACTGTGTGCCGTGAAATGCGTCTGCTTTCCAGTATCCCTGCATAAAATATTTTTAGAAGTGACTATGCGGCTCTTATTTGTGCTTAGGGAAAGTGACAGATGCTTGTGGCCTTTCATTTTCGTTAGGAATTTAGAATTTTAATTAGATCAAGTGTTTTTAATAAACAGTGTTTTTTCCTTGTTTTCTTCGCTAGAGATTGGCTGAAGCTGGATGGTGTAGGTGTGTGTCGGGGAAACTCAGGTTGGAAACAGTTTTGAACCTGAGCTGTGTATGCGATATTTGAGCTCTCTTAAGCTTTATTATTAATAAGAAATACATAAAAACAAGTACTTTAGCTCATTTTAGGACTCATTCACTCCTGCTGTCTCTTCCCATGGAGGCTGGTGCCTGTTTGCGGCATAATGGTCATTTCCATGGCAACAAACTGTGTGATGGTGCTTGGAAAGCTTTGAGTCTTGATGGAGAATAAATAAAAGCAGATTCACCCACATGCGAGATAATTTGGTTTTCATGTGAAATGAAGAACTTGAGAGGGGAAAAAAGAATTATACAGGTTTCCAATGTCATGTTCAGAGTTTCCAGTGTAACATGTAAGTCTTTTTCAAAACTGGACCCACTGGAAGTCCCAGCATGTGGACTGGACTCCCTCTGTGGCTGCTCCACGTGCAGTTGCCCGGTGCTGCAGCCTGGTCCGGGGCGCTGCGCTGCCACTGTAGGCCAGGACAGTCCTTTGTAACAGATCATTGCCTGGTTTTGCTGTTCTGGTGCTCCAAAGATTTGCTTTGACAACATACTAAATCTCCCTCTTGACTTGCCACGCATTAAAACATGTCAAATCAACTTGGTTTTGAGGTGTTGCCCTAATTATACTTCCCTCACCTATTTTCTCATGTACAACGATTCATTTGTTTCCATCCCTTTTCAGAAATCCATTGCACGAACAGCATCTTTTTATCAGTAGTGGGAGGTTCCCATGTGTTGTGGTGTGGGAGTGCTTGGGCAGGAAGGCGCTGTGAGCTGAGCAGAAGCGCAGGGCGACTCCGAAGGGCAGGAGCTGAGATGCCAAGGTCACTTCTCCAACCCTAGCTCGATCGGAGGCCAGTCTGCAGCAATAAACGTTTATAATGTTCATACAGTAGTTCAGTATAGAGCTCTTGTCCTGGGAGAGGACTCCAGGCAGTGTGTTTCAACTCCTATATGAAAATCACTATTTATTTAGTTTACTTTTGCCATATAAGACTGTAGAAGTGCTGGTCTCAGTGGGCAGCAGCTGCCATCATGAGCAGCTGATAACTGGTGCTGAAAACTAACCTTTTTCCATACTGTGGCAAGGTGTGACCTGAAATACCATACTCGTTCCCTGGGTAGGGAGCAGGAGTCCAAGGACTTGGCAGTGCTTCGAGCAATACATCGTACGTGGACAGATGGAACAGTGTACTGCAGCTTTTGCTGCCTTTACAGTCTGTGCAGCAGTTTTGTCTGTCTTTTCCACTAAATTTCTGTCAAGGTATGAATCTAAATCTTCAGTCATGCTGTTTCTTGGGGAACTGTTTCCATTTTTGTTTAAAGATGATCTGCTCGTATGTTTTGGAGACAGCTTAAGTTTGCCAGGAGGATAATTTAAAGGCCTTCCTTCAAATTATCAATTTTTCCAGTGGTTGTATTTCTAAAGCAGCTTTTTCTGGAGCATAATTTTCGGGCTGTTGCACAACATGTGCACAGATGGATGCTGCTTTGTGTTAATAAGTTGTTTAGGTTGAACAGATCTGTCCAGGATCATATGTTCATTCTGGCAACTCTACTGTTCCCCTACTACTTCTTTGACAATTTTGTTCTTCTAAGAAGATAAATAAATGAATAACACTCTGCATTTGCTCAGTTGTTTCAGAAGATGCAGTTGCCTTGGCTGTCTTTCTTTGTGCCCCAGCAGTGTGCAGACGTTGGGGTTTTGGGGTTCTTTTTGTGAGAATTCACTTAAGGAAGAGCAGCCACACTGGTATTCCGTTGCCTAATTAAATATAACCTGGCCTGGCCTCTTTTTTTTCCCTTCCCATCTTATTCCTACTAGCCCTCATTGCTCTTCTTGCTAATAAATGAGCGTTGCCTTTCTGGCAGCAAATGAGCCTGCCAGTTGGCTGGAAACAGGTTGAGAACTACCTTCCTGTAAATGAATGAGTCCAGCTGTCGTCAGCTGTACTTTCTGAACCAAGAATATGAATTTTGATTAGGCAGAAAAAGCCCACTGATTTAGTTTCTCATGATTTTGTTATCACTCTTTGCCATGATGATTGAACTAGCAGTGTCGGCACCGCGGCTGGCAGATCTCCGCTCGTAGCTGTTTATAAAGAGCTGTCTGGGTTATAAAAACCTCCCTGATCTGTTCAGGTGCGTGTTTTGAGAAAAGAACTGATTGTTTCTTTTAAAAGGCTTGTACCGTGTGTGCTTCGAACAATCGAGTTGGCAGTGAGACTGTCTCTGACAGCTGATACAATCAAAGGGTTTGCTGTGGGTTTTTCATATACCTGAGGTTCTGACTCAGCCTTGCTGTTTGCTGGGCTGGACTTTGTCTCCAGGCGAGTGCTCCCTGACCGTCTCGGTGGGCTGGGTGACCCCAGCCATCGTGAGCCCCAGTGCTTAAGTCGCGTGCTGACGTTGTGAAGTGACGGGCATACGTGGGCCTGCCGCGTCCTGTCCCTGACAGCGCACTGTTATTTTGGGTGTACTCACAGCTTTCGTGTCTTAGGAAAGGCTGCGGGGATGGAGCAGCCTGGTTGTCCCTGAGTGTTTGCCAGCCTCATAGCTCTCTCTCCCCATGTCAGAAAGCCCCTCCGGAGAGAGGGCAGCAGGAAAAGGACATAGACTCTCTTCTGACGAGCCGTGGGAGGGCAGGAGCTGGCTTGGTTTGGGGTGTTCTGCGGTTTCAGAAGAGGTACCGAGCCTGATGGCCAGAATGCTTTGCTGGCTTGCTGACTTTCAGCAGAAGTCCCTTCTGAGTTGTCACTTCTAATCAGCAGCAATGGTCTGTCCCTCTTCGCTTTTCTTGCAGACTCTCCCTGCAGTTTGTGCTGAGGCAGTTGGGCAGCTTCTGGAGCTCGTTCTGACGGGTTAGCGCTGTACTGTCAGACTGCAGTTCTCAGGCTCAGCCAGCCTTGGTTTTGTGAGCTGTGACTTAAATTCCCAGGGTTCGGATGATTCAGATAACGTACAGTGTATTGTTAATAAATTGTGTACTATTAAAATCTTAACAGTGATGTTACAGTTCCTTTTATTTCCATGGTTAGATTCTGTTGTGATTCATTTTTATAATGCTTCATTTTGTCTAGAAACTAGATGCCAAATCACTTATAAAGCTGAATTTTGCTAAAAACAGCGAAGGTAAGTGCAGTAATTTTCTGTGATTTTTTTTTTTTTTTTTTCTTAATGAGTGCTTTAATAAATCCTGGTTTGTCTTACTCATGGTGAAGTTATGTAGTTTGTCTTCTCTATGATGATTTTTTTTTCTTTGAGTAGAATAACTGCTTCTTGTGAGTGACGTGTTTACCTTGAAAGTTCCATTTCTGTTTTTCTTTACACTGGGGAGCTGTAAATTATTCAGCAATTGCATTTTGCTATAGCTGCTATTGCAGTGAGGTACTATCTACCTTAAGGAAAAAATTCAGAAAAGGCTAAATTTATATAATACATTAATTTTTTTCTAACTTGCCTATGGCAGTATTTGCTGTTCACTTGGGTTTGGGCAACTTCTTGTTTATAAAATGAAGTAGACTTAAATGAACACGTGGGATTTTATGAATAGCAGCACACAAGACAGCAGCATTGAGTTTATTTCTGCAGGGTTAAAGGCATAAAGTCTGTAATCTAAGAGAGGATGCTGGGAATGAAAGAGAAGAGTGGAGATGACTTCATCTTTTACAAGACTGATAATGATTTCTTTGAAACAAGAGTGGCAAGGATTAGGTGGGAATAAAACTCTTGAGTGTTTTTCTCCTTATCTTACCAAAGTCTATGGGCAACAAGGTCTTTTCTCAAGCTGATGGATTTTTTTCCACATTTTGTGTTCCATCTGTCTCAAGAGCAGGATGTTAAAAAATGATCAATAGTCACTGTGGGCAAGGTTTTTTAAAGATACTGTGATACTGTTCATAATGCTGGGGTGGAATGACGAGAGCCACACAGTCTGGGAAGCTTTTTCCTTAAAGAGGTGCATGGTGTGTCCTTAACAGATCAAAGGAAAATGCCACAAAAGATGAGAAGTAAAATGTTGCATTTCTGTCTGGCAGCATTTTTTTTTCTTTAAACCACGTAGAATGGTTGCTACATTTGTAGGATCTTTTCTGTTCACACCTGTATGATAAAAAAGTTCTTCAGATATTACAGTTTCTTCCACGTAAAGATCCCTCCTTAGCTGAGTACCTTCTATCCAAACAAACAAGTGTGTGCCCTCAGCTTTTGCTAGTACGAAAACAAGGTGATTTGCTCTTTTTTAATGCAGCTGGAGCGAGGCTTCGTGTTGCACCAGCGTGTTTCTGTGTCCATCCGTTGGGCCGTACCCTTATGGCATTTGCAGAAATCCCTTTCTGAACTTCCTCGTGAGTTTCCGTCCCCTGTGGCAGTGGCTTTCCTTCAGCCCTGGTGGCATTCCCAGGAACAGTCCCCAGCTTTACTTGCAGCTCTGTGCTGGCGGTCAGAGCGCCGGCTCTGGCTGAGCAGTCGGCCGTGGGGACTTGCCTCGCCTGGCTCTGCAGGTGCTGCGAGCAGTCTCTGTTCTGGTCTCCCTGCTGGTTTTCATTTTCAGATGGTAATTAGGAAAAAAAAGAACCAAATAGGCCCAAGCTATTTCAAAAATCTCACCCAAACCCCTAGGACTAGCAAACTGATCAAGTATTAATAACCTGCTTCTAATTGCTTTCTGCTGAGATCATCCAGACATTTTTCTTTTCCCTCGTACGTTGCCTTCCATCAGTCTTCTTGTTGTTGACATGCTTAATATTTATGCTGACCCTCCTGGGAAAATTCACAGCTTGATTAGAGCAGAAGCTGGGCTCCTTATTGAATAACGTGTTCAGATTTTAATGGCATTCTGCTTGCCTCATTCGAATACAAACTGCTCTGCTAAGTGCACGACAGCTGGTGTGAACTTTTTGTAGGATAGAAGCTAAACTTTTGTTCCTGGGAACGACACAGAGCAGTGGGCACGTTACAGAGCACAGGCCTGTGCTTATCAACAGAGCTTTGATAACAGCGGCAGGAATTGTGTCGTGGTACTTCATAGGTGTCAGGGAAGTTGAACAAAGTCCTGGGTTGAGGGACTGAAGGCAGTTGACCTCAAAACTGCTTCTTCATTACTTGCTTTATGATTCTCTTAAGTGTTACTTTTCCTGTCTGGCACTGAAGAATCAAAGCATAGTTAAAACACCATTACATACACACTGAAGTTATACTTTCTACTGAAAATTAATGAAAATATCCTGCACAGAGATATCAGAAGTTAGCTATTTCAAAACTGTCACAGGGACTTTATGCCAAATTTAAACTTTTTTCCCCTCTGTCAGGTAAATACCACTGTCCAGTGCTGTTTACTGTATTCACCAATAACTCCCATATTGTGGCCATCAAGACAACTGGAAATGTGTTTGCGTATGAGGTAGGTTCCCTGTTGCATTTTGTTACTAATATTTTATACTTGATGCCTTTCATTCAAGATCATAAAACGCTGTAGAAAGATAAGTAAACTTTGTTCTTGTTTTACAGCCAGGGAAATTAAAGTACAAGGGGATGAGCTGACTTCACAAGTTGTCCAGCTTTTGCCTTCAAAATATGAACAACTGTAGAATAGGATTTAAAGGATGTTTTCAAAATCTTTCACTAAGTTAATCTGAATGCACTGAATCTTGCAGACCAAAATAAGTAGCTTTTATATGCTCCTCAGCTGAATTGATAGAGAAATTTTCTGTCTTCATTCAGTTACAAAGTCATCACTGAAACACAAATTGCATCATTTCTATTTGTCTCTATGAATAAAAAAAGAACATTTTAACTGGAATCAGGGACAGGGCAGAGAGAATGCCTTAATGGATGCTTGAACTGCGTTTTTCTTTTGTGAATGTTTGTGTGAACCAACATGAAAATGGACTTTTAGTTGTGACTTGTTTGTATAATCCGTACTGTAAAAGCAAGGTTTATTTATTTTTCCGTAGCAAATAAATTCTTCAATTAATGGATCCATATCCAGGGTTGTAAAATGTCTCGACACTGAAACATCTACTTTTTGAAATCTGTTAATGGCAAATTCCGGTAGGACTTCAGATACTGAAAGAGGAACAGGCTGAAACCATTGCAATCAAGGAAAAGGCTGGATTCATCATGGTTTTGCTCTGTTGTAGTTGAACTGTCTTCATTCCAACTGAGAGAGCAGTCAAGATTGGGATGAAATAGAAAGTATTTTCTGTTCCTTCTGGAAGCGTGATGCTTTAATTGCTGTGGTTAAAAGGCAAGAATAAGGTTAAGAGTGGTCCTTGTTCAGTGCTTGTCAATATTGTGAAGTATCGCTCAATTTGCTACGATTTATAATACCAGGCTCCCTAAAGAAGCTGTGCCAAGAGCATCTGTTTCTTGCGTGGTGTACTGCTCGTGCAGTAGCATTTATTGCTTTATTGTGGGCATAGAATTAATTTACAGACTTCTGGAGGTACTAGAGAAATATTAACCACTTCCATCTGAGGACAACAGAGGACCTGTGGGAGAATGAGACAAATCCATTTGTTTTGCAGGCAGACAGCCACAGTTGTCTCTATGCTGTATTTATTCCACATTCGTTCTCACTATGGAATAGCACACCGTGGCTTTGTTGAGCAGCATCTGATTTTCGGAGATGCCCAGAAGTGTTGCTGGGGGCGAGGTGCAGCACTCGGGGTGGGCAGCGTCTGATGGGCTGGTGAGCTCTGCCCATGCCTGAGCTGGCCCGGGACACATGAGTCTCCCCGAGGGGTGCTGGCAGTGCGGGAGGTACAGACCTCTTGTTAAAGCTCCCTGTCTTACGCCATCTCCAAAATATTTAACTTTGAAAACTACAAGCAAGATTTTTTTTTATTTTGGCAGTGCTGTTATGGTGAATATGGTTAAAATCATGTGCGTGACTGTGGAATGGAGACTATAAGGTTGTTTGGGTTTTTTGGTTGATATTTGGGTTTTTTTAAACCAAACTACAAGTTTCATCGGGATAAAAGGCAAAAACTTCTCGTCTGTTACAGCACACAATGAAAATATTGCAGCTGCTAGTTGAGAATGAAGGGTGAAATTGTCTTTATCATTTGCACTTTAAGTTTTTTATTGGTATCATGTATTTACTTGTAATATTTACACATTAAAACCCCAATTTTTAATACCTGTGTCTTTTACCTGGCTCTTAGGCAGTTGAGCAGCTGAACATAAAACCAAAGAGCTACAAGGATCTTTTGACAGACGAGCCCTTCACTCGGCAAGACATTGTGACGCTGCAGGTAAACTTCTCTGTTACATGTCTTACTCTACGCCTTCTTTGCAGAGGTTGAAATGTTGCTTTGTACACCATTAGAATAATTGAACAGAGAAATATTGTCTGGTGCGTGTCTTGAAGATGGGCGGAAGGGGAACTGCTGCATGTTTCTTTGTTATCTGAAGAGCGACAAAGTTGCCGTATAACTTAGAGCCTGACAAATCTCTCCTGTGGCTATCGTGTGCCTTGTAGATAAGCAGATGGTTCACAAGGAGGGAAAAAAAAGGTGCCCAGAAAAAGCCAAGGATGCCTGTAAAAATGTGAATTTTGACAAATGTATTTCTGTTTGCTCACTATCTTGCTGTATCTGACTGAATATAAGATGTGCATAACTGTGAGGTCTAGATATTGAGGTCTAGATAAGATTTTGGAAGTTTTTCTTCTAATCTTACTTGAAAAATTGCTGTGATGCCTCCCAGTTTATTGTGGGACTTAACAGAAGTGCATTGGGAAAAGACTGCGTAGAGGAAAGGTAAAGATGTGTCCAGAATCATCTTCAGCTCCAGACAGCCAACAGTTACCGGGTCTGTATTATCAAAAGAAACAGGGTTTAGAATGTAAAGTATACAAACTTTTAGGAAGTCCACATGTTACACAAAGACTGATGATGCCTAAATGAGTCAAAGCTTCAGAAAAGCATTTTTAACAGAATGTTTCTCTAAATGTAGAGTGAAAGAAGCAGCAAACCAGAGGATTTTGTTTAATGCTTGCTTAGACTTTAGTTTCTTCCTAATAGATACCAATGTTGGTCTATTACTGATTTTTAACAGAATTAAAACACAAGTTAAAACAGCATTGTACATTTGAGGTGTAGTTATGTACAGACAAAGTTTAGTATCAAAAGATCTTAACCTTTTGCTTTGAAGTATGCATTTTTAAGCTTGTGTGTTTTCAAAAGAGGGGAAAAAGATTCAAGGATCACTGTTATTGGAGTCCTGAGTTAGCATGCATCTCATGAGCAGTTAATTGCCACTAACCAAGACTAATGCAGTCTAATTTGAACAGAAAAATATTTTTCGTTTATGTCTAAATTTAAAAGAAATGTATCTGTTCTTCCCTACTCCCCAGTGCTGAACAGAATGTTAATAAATATTTTTCCTGTATTCCTTTGGGCTTATGGCTGTTCAAGCTAACACAACAGAGTAAGATGATTTTAATCAAATGGAAGGAAAACCCGTAGCTTTTTCAGATTGAAAGCTCCCAACAGTGTTATTTGAATGTAACTGCATGGTTGCTAATGGCTTTGGTGCATTAAAAAAAGACAACATGAGTGACTAAAATTGTTACTGTGTATCAGTATGGAAAATCAAATTATTTTTAACAAATAATTGAAATGTGCAATCCTTTAAAAATATTTTGGTGTGTTTTGTAGGTTTGGAATTGAATGTATGTATAGAGTGTGTTCCTGTTACATGCCTAGATTTGGTTTTGCATAGACGCGAACAGGTGCTATAGTCAGTCCCCTGAATCTCAAAATGCAGTAACTAGCAATTTAGGTGTTCCTGTGTGGATTTTTATCAGTATTTTTCACCTTCATTCTGTTCGTGACACGCTGGGTTTCTGTCTTGCTGAGTAGATTGTGGCAGTTGTCCAGTCCCTGGTGCAGTCATCCTGCCCCCTGCACGGGGGTCCCAGCCCTGCAGTGCCTGTACCTCTCTCCCAGCCCTTTAGGATGACGTTTGTAATGTGTGAGTAGGTTTGTTCATCTTAAGGAAACATCTCGTTATGGACTAGTGTTAGCTTTTGTAGTGTCCGATCTTGTGATACACTCTTCTCAAATAAGTTTAGAAATAGCAAAGGAACCCCGTCATGGGACTGGACTGGACTGGAAGAGATTCTGACTCTGAATACTGTTAAGTAGCTACAGTTTGACCCTTCACCCAATTAGATTCTAAATATTATTTTTTTTTCAAAAAAGGATTTTCAACAAACGCACTAAAATGGCTTCAGGCTGTTGAATGAGAAGTCGGGGCTGTTTCATGCACTGCACAGCACCCACTGCCAGCTCGTGGGTGTACCTGCTGCCCTACCTCGGCTGCTTTGTTGAGAGCAGAAAGCAGCCTAAAGCGGAGTGACTAGCCTGGGTACTAAAATTGCTTTTTGTGCACAGTGTGCTTTTGCGTGGCATTCTCTTCATGTAAATCGGCAAACGACAAACCAGTGTCCCCTGTGCAAGCTCTCTTGTTGACAGCACCGCAGGCAGCGTGGTGGCTTCCCACTGCCAAGCTTTACCACCCGTGGCTTTGTTTCTCAGCCAGAGTTCATGACTGCAATCTGTTGTGTTCCAGTTTGCGCATCTAGAGCTCTATCCCAAATCCCACTTCTCTTAAACACCTTGCGGTTCTGTGTTGAAATCTGTCACTGTGGTTTTTCCCATTCCCCATGTAAATTGAGTACTGCGGTATCTGAGAGTGAGTTGGTAACACTCCCTGACCCTGCTGTTTGGCAAAAAGGTAGATATAAAGGAAGTTGCTATAAAAAAACTTTCTTTGCTTTGTAACTAACAGCTGAATAGGACTGTCTGTAGTAGCTGTGTTTAGCAATGGAAAATGGTATTTCCACAGGCTGACTCTGAATATCATAGGAAGCAGATGGGATACCTGTGTTTAGCAATGAAGTACCACATGATAAATGGAAATTTTGAATAATGTGTGTTACAGATCGTTAGTATGATCACATTTTTCCTTACTGATACATAAAGGGCAATCCTACAGCTGCTAGTGGTGTTCATTTACCCAGAATAGCAGCTGACCTCAAACTTGACCTCTCCATCCTAATGTATATAATTAAACCCAAAAATTTAAAAATTTGCTCTTTCCAGAAGAGAGAGAATTGTGTAAAATTCTTTGTTCTGTTCTTGGTGCTAAGCTTTATTCAAACACTGATCATAATCCATCCCCATTACCTTTCCTGGTGACCATCCTCTCAGCTGGTCACTTTTATTTTAGTGCTAGTTATTTGTGCCCTATTTTTAAGTTTACTTGTTAGAAATTACAAATTATTTTGGGTCTGGAACTAAGAAAAGCAAAATTACAACTTCAGTTGTTAATAATACTATTTTAGATATATGATATGCTTCCTGCACTTACATATAGAGAAACTGTTATTTTCCCTGTTGAAATGCAAATGTCATGAGGTAAAGCATGACGTTTTTTTGTCCACATATGGCAGTATTATTCAGCCTCTCAAGCCAGGAGGTCAAGAATAGTATCATATCCTGGTGTGCAAGATACGGTACCAAAACTGGAATGTAGTTATTCAGGAAGAAGATGTAATGGATTCTGGTTTAATACCTTGCTGATAACAACAGGAATACACATGACATTATTCCATATGAAACCCTTCCTAGACACCGGCAGTGTTTGTAAGACTGAATTTTGTTAGACTGTAGCTATTTACCCTCATGTTGAAATTTCCTTTTCTTAGCTGTGTGATTGTACCACAAACCAAAGTCAAGCTTTCCATCTTCTAGAGTGCAGGTGTTACCTTTTTCCAAGTTTATCATTATTTCAGATAATTTTTCTCTCAACTCGTACATATTTCTTCTAAATGGAATATTGCTGTTGTATTTTGTCTGTGTTTCTCATAACTAAACCCACTTGTATTCTTTCACCTTGAAAGATGATTACCTCAGTCTGACAGCAAATGTCATGAATATCCTGCCAGCTGACAGACAGCCTAAGAGCTTCAAGATTTATTCGTTATACTTGATGGATAAGGCGCGATGTAAAGCACGCGGAGATCTGTGGGGACAGGGCACCTGTAACAGGAAGGCTGGTGGTGTTGAAGCTTGTTTGCAGTGCTCTTACTTCCCTTTTCTGCTTCCCATTCTGGTACCTTGCCGTGCATTGGGTCATTTTGCAATTGTTCTGAAGGTAGGATTTGATGTAGCTTTGAAAGAGTTTTGACTTAATCAGATTTCAGAACTAGGTGATTCTTTCAGTCCTATGTTTACAGGTCTTCAGCTAGTTTTCAATCTAAATGTTTAACCTGATTTGAAGTTATCTTCCAAGTAGATTTTCTTGGGGGTGTAATTCAGCGTTAAATCGGAGGATCTGCTGTCCACCACATAATCTTTGTGACAAAAGTCTGGTCAACCGTCTGGTAGAAATTATTATTCATTAGTGTTACTGTAAATTCACTGTGTGTTTCAGTCATACATTTTGTGTGATGATGTGTAACTTAATAGCATTAAGCTTGGTGATAAGTGTACTCTGGATTCCCTTGTGTAAGAGTGGGCAGACTGAAGCAAGCGCCTGCCCCAGCGCAGAAAGGAACCGGGGCAGGTGGTGCTGTGCTGTTGCGGTGGTGGGCTCCAGCAGTCCTGTGGACCTCTTGGCATCGCAACAAGAGGGTCCCGAGTGGAGCAGGGTAAGCACGCTGCAGTGCCCTGCTTTCACATCCCCTTTGGTAGGAAGCGTTCGGAGGAACTAAGAACAATTTCCTCTTTATCCTCCTGTCAATTCTTCATCCTCCACTGTGTCTCTGTTCACAAACCAGAAACCACAGCTCTCAAATTTGTGAAGATACAGCAGAAATTATTCCTGCTCTGGAAGCTCTTAGAAGCTGTTGCTGAGCTGTGTGCCTGCAGGGAGGGGAGATGGCGAGAAGCGTGGCTGCGCTCAACAGCTAAAGCAGAGGCAGAGGTGGTCTGTTCCTCTTCACCTGAAGAATTGCAATAAATCCCCACTACCCTGTTGTGCTGGTGGCAGCAGGCACAGTCCTCTGATGGCAGCCTGCTGAGAGCCTGACCTGGTGGATGCACTCGAACAAATACCTCTGCTTTGCACCAGGGAAATGGAGTGAGGTTCCTGGGAGGGGAAAAAAACAAAAGTCTGTGTAGAATGCAAACAGGTTTGCCACTGTTAAAGGAAAAAAAAGGTTCATAGTGTTAATTTTATTGTTTCTGTATAACCTAATCAGCCGTGGATAAGCCATGGTTCCCGACAAGCTGTTAAACACTATTGGCATCTGTGGCAGGAAGCCTAACTAATGAGCTAAGTCGGAGGTAGCTGAGCTGCACGCTGTTAATTGATATTTCACTCCTCAGCTATGTCTCGTTTGCCTTTTGCGTGACAGAAGGTCAGAGCAGATTTCCTCTCGGTTGTGGGTGAGGGCTCTTTGAGCCCCAATGCGTGTGCAGAGCGGCTGATAAAGAGGTGACGCGCTGGGATGCAGTCGGCGTGTGGAGGTAACAGTCCTGAGGTTAATCAGGGGTGCGGTATGGCCGACCAGATGGTGAGAGGAGTCAGGCCTCAAAGAAATTGCACAGTCTGAAACTGCGCTGGTGTTAACCTGTTTTTAAGGGGTTGTGTGTATGGTGCTTAAGGTTAACAGAGCTTAAGCTGTTTCCCTAAGTAGGTGAAACCCGTAGGAAAAAAACAGGTGGAATAGAGCTTGAGATTGTTTTAAGAGCTCAGCTTTCAGAAAAACATTAAATATGAGGGTTTTAATAGTCATGATAGTTATCAACCCTTTGAAGTCTGTGTCTGTGCTAGTAATTTGATAAACTATAGTTTATGGTTAGTAACCATAATAGGAAAAACCCTGAGAATGCTACCCGTGGTAATTTGAATACATATTTTTAAACATGCTAAGACAAACAAAAGTAGGCCCATTTAGTCTTCATCGTTCATATTCCTTTCTGGTTTCTGTGCACTTACACAGAACTTACTTCTTTAGGCCTTTGGGCTCTAGGCCTTAGTCTAGGAGCATCCCTGTGTGTCCAGCCTTTCTCTGACGAGGAGAGGTCACCAGCTCCTTAGAGGTCCAGGCTTTGACAGCGCGGGTACGGCTGTCTGCCCGTCCCCGGGGTGTCTTGATCAGACTGCCCTGACTCTGTGCCCGATAACTGTCATGGCTGTACTGAGAGGAGCTTGGCAGGCTAATTATTAGTAATGTCCTGCTTTGAGCTAAACAGAACCAATTCTGGTCAGTGACTTTTGCTTCCCAGTTCAGTCTCTTCTAAAAGGCTGCCCTGTCTGAGGTCAGCAGCGTGTTTCTGCAGTGTCTGCTGCGAGCAGTGGTAACGCCTGGTGTTCGCAGTCACTGCCTGGGACTGGGATGCAGAAAGGCTCTGGCTGATCCTTGTTCTGGTAGTGCCCAAGGCCACTGCTGGCTCCTGTGTGCCACGCTGGGGTGCCGGGTAGTAAGAGGGTCACAGGGAAGTAAAAGGTGGCACCTCCAGGGAGTTAACAGGCAGGACAGGTGATTAATGAGTGTTCCATTCCATATATGTCATACATGGTATAAAACTGAGAGTTTAAGTCTCTTTCTCTCTTTGCTGCAATGACCAGTGTCCAGGGAGGACTCCGTCCGATCTTCTGCCTTTGATCCTGAGCTCCTGACTCCAGCTCCCCTCTGCCGCGGAGCCTGGGCCTGCCCTGGTGCCGCCTGCCCTGCAGCGTCACTGGGGTTTGCTCTCGGCTGGGACTCGGGTTCGATATTGGACCTATAGACATTTGTGGTCTCTTTCTCTCTTTGCTGCAATGACCAGTGTCCAGGGAGGACTCCGTCCGATCTTCTGCCTTTGATCCTGAGCTCCTGACTCCAGCTCCCCTCTGCCGCGGAGCCTGGGCCTGCCCTGGTGCCGCCTGCCCTGCAGCGTCACTGGGGTTTGCTCTCGGCTGGGACTCGGGTTCGATATTGGACCTATAGACATTTGTGTATAGTTCACTGGTTTTATTATTTCCTTATTAGTTCTTTTATTATTGTTTTATTAAAGCTGTTTTAGTTTTCTTTTACAATCCGTAAGTTTCTCTGCCTTGTGCCTGTTTCCTTCCCGTTTGGGGCAGGAGAGAAGATTAGAGAGTGTCT